CGTTGCCAGACACGGAAAAAGACAAAAAAAAAAAAAAAAAAATTGAGAAGACATCAAAACTAAAGAGTCATCATTCATCCTCATATCAAAAACAAGCACAGTTGAACTCACTGGTAAGATGTGAAACCAGCTTCAAAATAAATTACAGGGCCGAGCCCGTGGCGCACTCGGGAGAGTGCAGCGCTGGGAGCGCAGCAGCGCTCCTGCCGTGGGTTCGGATCCTATATAGGGATGACCGGTGTGCTCACAGTGCTCACTGGCTGAGCGCGGTCCGGCCAGTCTCAAAAAGGACAAAAATAAATAAATAAATAAATAAATAAATTACAAATATTGCGGTTGAAAAGGAAAAACAAAAAATTTTGGCAGAATTTCTTTTTCAGAACTTTTATATTCCTTATAATGTGACTGACATTTCAAATCAATGACTGTTACATATGTGAACAAACAGACATTTTACTTCATAGTTGAACAAAACTGTGAATAAATCAGTTGTCAGCATATGTTCAGTACATATGTGAAAGAGAAGTGGTCAGTGACTTTTTATCCTATTTATCATGAAGCTAATTTGAAAAGGAGATTTATGGTTTAATCAAAGATTCATTTTAAACTATGAAACAGACTTTAAAAGGTATGTCGGCTTGTACACCAGTGTTCATAGCAGCATTATTCACAAGAGCCAAAAGGTGGAAATAGTCCAAATGTTCATCAACAGATGAATGGATAAACAAAATGTTTACCATGGAACGTTATTCAGCCTTAAAAATGAGTGCGATTCTGATACATGCCACAACGTGGATGAACTTTGAAAAAACATATGCTAAGTAAAATAAGCGAGACACAAAAGGGAAACCATGTGATTCCACTTACACGAAGTACCTAGAATAGGCAAATTCACGGAGACAGTAAGTTGACTAGAGGTTGCCATGGAGTAGAAATGGGGAGTCATTGTTTAATGGGTAGGAATGGGGGAGAAATTGTTTAACGGGTACTTTTCTGTTTGGGATGATGAAAAAGTTCTAGAGATGAATACTGGTCATGGTTTCACAACATTGTGAATGTACTCAATGCCACTGAACTCTATACTTAAAAATACTTAAAGTGGTAACTTTTAAGTTATGTGTATTTTATTAAAATGTTTAAAAAACAGGTATGTTGAATCAACATTGAAGAAACTCCAGCCACATAGTCAGCAAGGAAAGGTCTGACTATGCAAACGGAAGATGCTGCTTCCAAATGCCGGTATATATCTCATTCAGAGAAAACTGCTGGGGGCCCGTAACATGCCTCCAGGTTCTGATTTGCTGTTGAGAGACATAGTGGAAATTGTGAACACAAACTGATTGTGGTCGCTTAGTGTGTTTCCTCAGCCTACTGGGCTGAAACCAAAAGTGAGTTAGAGATGCTGCTCTCCCACACTCAACTGCTCTGGCTGGCAAACAAACAAACAAACAAAAAGGTTTAAATGATATTTTAAATATAAGGAATGAAAATTTTTTCTAATAATCATTTTTATTAATATAAGTGGTGAGTCTCAGTGATGTGTTTAGGATTTTGAATAGTACAGGTCAGGGTTTCTTAAAACTAAACAGTGATACAAATGGCTCAATGGCTGAGAGTTTGACTTTTTCCCAATACCCAGTGATTTTCTTCATTCACCAGAAAAAACACTTAGGCAAAAGCACATTGGGCATATGAAAAATCGCATCCAAATGCTGCAATTGAACATGAAGAAATACCTTCCAGGGCCAAATATCACCAAAGAGAGGAAGTGACTCCATTAGCTGCTGTTCAGCTGGTGCATTCATCCTCTGGGGAAACACTGAAAATGGTCTTTAGAGAGAACTCTCTCCATAATTTCTGGGTCTGTGTTTGATCTGACAAGCCAGAAATATCTGTCAAAGCTTTCCAACAACCTATAATTCTTAGTTAAGATTTTCTAATTTAGAAAACATAAAGAGTGGGGGAAAAAACCAACAAGATATAGAAGCTGACAGACAGCTCAAGCGGCTATGCAGCCAGATATAGATTTCTTCATGAATGATTTTAAACACTATTTCTCCCTTCGCAGATATGAAAAAACATTACTGTTATTCACCCTTTTCTAAAATTTGACTTTTGCTTTTATTTAAGATATTCATGTTCATGGTTTAAAAGTTCATGTAGCTCTATAAGGATTCTAAGAAAAACAGCAATTTCATGTTCCTCATCTACTTACCCTTAATTTCATCTTTCCAGAGGCAACCACTTTCAGCTTTTTCACATGTTTTTTCTGATACCGCCCTATCTCCAATAATATACTCCTACTACTATTTTTAATTTTTCAATTTCATATGTTCTCTATTGGCTTTATTTTATGGAAAAAAATTAGGGCCATATACAAACACTGATTTCCTCTCACTCTCGTCTTCCTGCTTTAGTTACATCATAATTTTTGGTTATCTCATCAGATAATGTGTACATTGTCTGACGACATATATGATTACATAATGGCATTGCTAAACAAATACTATTCACAGCTGTGTCATGCAGTGTACTTTGATTACATTTCCATTTTGCACAATGTTTTTTGCTTTCCCTGGAGTTAAGAAAGATTTCATTCCTTCATTTACTCAGTTTTCTCTCTATATATTTACCCCTAATTTGTTCTCAAACTCTTCTCCAGAGAATATTTGCTTCAATTTGTTTGAACACATTTGAACTCTTTCTCAGAGAATAACTCCTTTGATTTATTTGAACACATCAGGTTACCCATCGGTTTCAATTTTCCCTGAGGAAATCAGTCCTAGAGTCCTTCATCTCCTACCTCATTATGATCTAGATATTCTCTGGGCCTTATGCACATCTCTTTTCTAGAGATTTTTTTTTTCTCCATTCTCTTTTGGATTCCTTTTGCCTGTCCCTGGGATACCATATCTTCCTCTTCATTGGTTACTTCTTTGTTTTGGTAGAGCACATCCTTTAATATCTTTCTTAGAAGCATAGCTGGGAAGTAAATTTTCTAAGACTTTGCCTGTCTATAACTATGTTTATTCTACCCTCATCTTTGACAGTTTGGCTAAGGAAGGGAACTTTCTTAGAAGCATAGCTGGGAAGTAAATTTTCTAAGAGTTTGCCTGTCTATAACTATGTTTATTCTACCCTCATCTTTGACAGTTTGGCTAAGGAAGGGATTCTATACTAGAAATTATTTCTTCAAAATTTTGAAGGCATTGCTCATTGTCTTCTAACCTCCAAAGTTGCTACTGAGAAATCTGATGATATTTTGATTCTCAGTCCTTGATATGTGACCTCTTTTGTTTTCTCCCTCAAGAAAGGTTGGGCTTTTCTCTCTGTGTACAATGTTCTAAAATTTTGTCCTGTTATGTCTTGATGCAAGCTTTTGTCGTTTATTTTCTTTTGTTTTCTCCCTCAAGAAAGGTTGGGCTTTTCTCTTTGTGTACAATGTTCTAAAATTTTGTCCTGTTATGTCTTGATGCAAGCTTTTGTCGTTTATTTTCCTGAACATTTGCAGGTGTTTTGTTTTGTTTTGTTTTGTTTTGTTTTGTTTTGTTTTGTTTTGTTTTGTTTTGTTTTGTTTTGTTTTGTTTTGTTTTGTTTTGTTTTGTTTTGTTTTGTTTTGTTTTGTTTTGTTTTGTTTTGTTTTGTTTTGTTTTGTTTTGTTTTGTTTTGTTTTGTTTTGTTTTGTTTTGTTTTGTTTTGTTTTGTTTTGTTTTGTTTTGTTTTGTTTTGTTTTGTTTTGTTTTGTTTTGTTTTGTTTTGTGGCTGGCTAGTACAGGGATCTGAATTTTTGTAGCTGCTTTTGAACTGAATACTTACATCCTTCAGTTTTGAAAAAATTTCTTGAATTGTTTCTTTAATAATTTCCTCCAGTGTATTTCTCTTTTTTTTTCCTAGACCTCCTATTGGTCAGACATTGTACCTACTGTCTGATTCTATAGTTTTCATACTTTTTATCACTTCTTATATATTCCTTCTATTTGTTTCACTTTCTGTGAGATTTCCAAAAATTTGTTTTCAGTCCTCCTATTAATGTTTTACTTTTGCTATTATATTTTTGTTTCAAAGGTCTTTCTTTGAGTATTCTTTTTTATAGCTTTCTGTTCTTGTTTTATTATGTAGTATCTTCTCAGCTCCTAACTCTCTACAGCTATGAAAATATTAATGGTAGTTTTTTACTCTAATTTTTCTTGCATATGGGTGTGTTCAGGCTCGTACTCTGGGGTGTTTCCTCCTCTCAGTACAGCTTCCTCATATGGAACTGAATGGGCTGGGGTTTTCTTACCACAGAATTATGCTTTGGGGGTCACCACACCCACAGGGCAAAGTCAAATACCTCAAATCTTAGTTTATAACTGGTCTGTCAAAATGGATCAGACAAGACTCAGCCTTGTACTTAGCCCACATGGGGTTCTTTCCCTGAGGAACCAGTTTCTGAGGAGACTGGTTGGCTCAGCCCTCATATTTGAATATTCATCCATATATTGTAGCAGGCAGAGTCACCTAGATCACAATGCATCTTCTCAAATGGTCCACTCTAAAAGATGTTGCAACAATTAAATCAGTGTCAGTCTATAGACGGAAGGGTCACTAAACTCTCAGTGTCTATTCTGGGTTCTTCCTAGGTTTGTGTTACCCAAAATAGTCCTTATTTATGCTGCATGCATTCCCAGGACCCTCTCCTTGCAGTAATGCTGACTGACTTCTGGTCCTACAGATACGTTGGTGCAGCGATTGATCTCCGAGGGATCTCAGGCCTTCGGACGTTCAGAGTTCTAAGAGCTTTAAAAACAGTTTCTGTGATCCCAGGTGAGCTGCTTCAACCAGCATATTTATCCACAGAGCATATGTTAGTTTTCACAGCCTCAGGCTTTTCTTTGATTTTCACAAATACTCATCTAAGAGACAAAAAGACTGAGGCTTAGAGTGTTGGAAAACACAAGCTCAAGGCCTCATCACTAGTAAGATGCGGTGCGAACGAAAGCCTAATGTCCTGATTCCTAGGTCAATCCTCTGTCCACTTACCACATGGCCACACACTTGATAAATGACAAAAGGGTTATGTCATCATTTTCTGCTCATGTTGTGGGGTTCAGGAAAGGCCCCCAGTTGGAGTCACATTTATACCTTAAACTAAAGGTTTGAACTTGGAAATGGGAAGCAGGGAGAGAGCAGTCCTAGGCGCTTCACTATTTCCACAAATCTAAAAGCCTGAGCCCCAGTTCTGTCTTTGGATCTCCAGAGAAGAAAATAATTAGGCAATTCTTGATTATAGGGAATTCAGAAACAAAAGCTGTCCATCAAAGCTCATCTTACTGGCCTCCATGATCTTGACTGTCACTAGTAGCCCAGTGACTGTTTCTCATCCCCCCACTAGGTTGATGGTGGGGATGGTGAGGCCAGAGACCAAGTAAACCTCCTGAAACAGACTCAACACTTATCCTTCATGTCCTGATGGGTTATCTCCCCTCACCCCTGAGACTCCGTGAATTTGTTCTCTCATCTGTAAAAAAGAAACACTCATTCTAGAGTGGAAGACTCTTTCTACCGTTCCATGTCTGGCTCTGCAGAGAAAGATTGGACACTCTGTGCCAATTTCCACAGGGCAAACCTCTTCATGAAGAGAGCCATAGTTGTACCCCTTGGTATTCATCTCACCCACTCTTAGCCAGGAAGACCTGAGTCATGTTTACAAGAACTGGCTTGTCCAGATTCCTGCTTCTGCCTCTTCTCTCACCTCTAGCCACCTTGATTCATGTTCCAGAATCTACCTGTGATTCCACAAATACTCCATGACCTTTTCCACCTCCCAGCCTTTGGCTGTGCTGCTCCTTCTTTCAGGATGTCCTTTACCTACTGAAGGAGACTCCCTAGTCTTTCCCAACTTCCCCACACTCTACCCCACCCCACCCCATTTCCCTTGCCCCCTGAGTTTCAGATAAGTGCTGCTCCTCTGTCTGCCCATCTGCTTGATGATGCTATGAAATTCCCCTCAATTGTCAGACAACCCCACCACACATCAGTGCCTTAATCATCACTCAGTTCCCAGCCCAGGTACTGACAAGTGAGTAGTGCTCAATGGATTATTTGTCGATCAAAATGACAAACCAAAGATAGATTCCAGATTGCTTTCCTGGTCAAGCTCTTTCTTCTACCTGTGAAGCTGCTCTCCTAAAGAAGTTGATTTCATTTGCTAGAGCAACAAATCATCTCTCCTTAAACAAGCAGGGATCCCATCTTTGCTGCCAGCTGTGCTTAGCACAGGTTCTCTCTGTTTCTGCTTCATTGTTTTTCGTGGTCACACTCTACTGCTAAGTTCATCTCTCTGTGTCTTTGTATCTATGTCTCTCTCTTTCTCTTTGTCTCTCTATCTTTTTCTCATTCTATCTCTTTGGCACCTCTCTCTCTCTCTCTCTCTCACACACACACACACACACACAGAGTGAGGCTCATGTGTCCCAAGCCTCAAGCTTCCTCCTAACACACACACACACACACACACACACAGAGTGAGGCTCATGTGTCCCAAGCCTCAAGCTTCCTCCTAGAACTGAGATGAGGTCAGAAAAATGTCAAATGGCTGGAGTGAAGTCAATAGCCTCATGCCTAGCACAGTGCCTGGAACATAGTAGGTACTCAACTATTATTTTTGTTAATTGAATTGCTAATGTCAGAAATTTATTAGCCTTAAGATGATAAGAAGTTCATTGCCTGAGTCTCAGTTTCCTTGTCTTTATAATGAGGACAATAGTCCCTGCCTGTCTTCCTCTCACAGTAATGGCAAGGATCAGATGAGAAACTGGGCTTGGAACTGCCCTGGAGTTTGTAAATGCTCCACAACTGTGTGTAGAGAGGGGACAGGATGGCAAGATGCATGCGTGTGCTCTGTATGTGCTGCCTCATCCAAATGGGGATATCACTGTCATCTTCCCACAGGGCTGAAGGTCATTGTGGGGGCCCTGATCCACTCGGTGAGGAAGCTGGCTGACGTGACCATCCTCACCATCTTCTGCCTGAGTGTCTTCGCCCTGGTGGGCTTGCAGCTGTTCAAGGGCAACCTCAAGAACAAATGTGTCAGGAATTCCACGGCTGTCGATGGGGTGGCCAATTCCTCATCTCATGGAAAAGGTGAGTGGAATTTCTACCATAGGGACTGAGGTCTGGTTGGGACCTTGGGATCAATGGACATTGGAGCTAGGGGTGTGTAGCCTCTGCACATCTGTATAAGTATATATTTTGATTTCTTTCCTGATGAAATGCTTCTCCGGAGTTGTGTTCTACTTTTGGGCTCCCCATTTCCTGTTGCCCAGTGTCCCTTTTGGAATGAAATGAGCTACAAATCCAGAGGCAAGCCACAAGTCATTCTGCCTCTGCTGCAGGAGACTTAGAGCTGAAGTCACTGCTCAGCTCTTCTCAGATGCGACTTTACACCTTCTAAGTGTCCCAGTGTGCCCACTAAGTGCATGTAGCTGAGGGAGCTCGCCTCAGACAGAACACAGGAGGTGTTGCCTTCGCCACACAAGGCTTGAGTTGGAGGGCTCAGAACCATCTGTGAGGCTTAATTTTTTCCTTTCTTTGGCAGATTTGTACGTTAATAAGCCAGGCACTTCTGATCCCTTACTGTGCGGCAATGGATCTGGTGCAGGGTGAGTGCCCAAACCATGACAAAGCATCAAGGCCTAATAGGTCTTTCTCCACCTTGTCCTCAGCATTTTCTGGGCAGACACTGGATCGCAGGTCCTGAGGAACATGTAGAAACAAATAAGTCATGGTCTTTGCCATCCCAGAATGCATGGGGAGGAGTGTATTGAGTTAGCTTTTGCTGCATAGCAAATGACCTCAAGCTTGTGACTTAAAACAGCAACCATATATTTAACTCATAATTCCATGCATCAGCATTTTGGGCTGGGATATCCCCTGGACACTGGCTGGCATTGAGTGGGCTCATTCATGCATCTGCAGGCAGTAGACAGATTAGCTGGGAAATGGCTGGTCTAGGATGCCCTGTCTCTGCTCTGTGTGGTCTGTCATCCCCCAGCAGGCTAGTCTGGGCTTGTTCTCCCAGCAGAGGCAGGGTTCCAAGAGAAAGAGTGGAAGTGCAAAAGGCCTCCTGAGGCCTAGACTTAGAACTGGCATAATATCACTTTTTCTGCATTCTATTGACCAAAGCAAGTCAGGGATCAGTCTAGATCCAAGGGTCGGTGAAATAGACTCCACCTCTTGGTAGAGGAAGCTGAAAGGTCATATTGCAAAGGGGTTTGAACACAGGGAGGGGAAGAATTGTGGTCATTTTTGCAATCATTTTTCCAATCTACTCCAGGAAGGAGCTAACATTTATTAAATATATTTGTGTCACATATTCTACATTTAATCATCATGGCTAACTCCATCCTATGGTTTTCATTATCTTCATATAACAGAGGAAGAAACACATACATCAGACTGCAATTTCAACTTCTTACAGAGGCCAGAGACATGATAAATGAGTGGAGTGGGCCAGGTGGGAACCAAGGCAACTGAGAGTTCATGCCCCAGATAAAGGAGAAGCCACTGCTGGGTCCAGATTTTGGTTGCAATGTGGAAATGTGGGTCCACTGCTTCAAACATTTAAAAGAGAGATGGGAGATTTATATTTTTATGTAAAGTTTCCCAACTATAAATATTGGCTACCAGTTCCAAAAAATGTCTACATATTTTGGAGTCAAATAAAATATTTCTGCAGGCCAAATTCAGCCTGTAAGCTGCCAGTTTGCAATCTTTCATATGTGCACATAAAGATACTGAATTGAGGAGAACAAATGTGCCAGAGTCTCCATGGGATGGAGAAACATGGAGAGGTGATAGTGTGACCCAAGAAAGAAGGCTTCCTGGAGGTGGTGGTTGAGGTGAGTGTTCAAGGGCAGGTAGGATGTCTCCAGCCTGGGTGAATGAGAGATGGTTTGGATAAAGGCCATTCCAGGTGGCAGAACAGAATGTGAAACAAAGCTAAGGGGAGAGGACCCCTCAGTTCTGCCTGCTACTTGGGCCACTGGAGTGAGGTATGCAGTTCAGGCAACAGATCAGAAAGGCCCATCTCTCCCACTGCCACAGCTGGGAGCCTGGAAGATCAGGGCTCACAACGCCCCACTCCCTGAATGGCTGATGGCCCCACATTGCCCAAGTGGAGCCAGGTGGAACCTGCATGAGGCTCCACCTTAATCAGATCACTAGGAAAACGATCTCAGGTAGAGCTAGAGCTGCGGGGTGGGGACAAACAGGAGAATTTGCTCAACATCAGGCTCATTGGCCTCTTTCTTCACTAATGCACTTGGCATTTGGTTCTTTGGCTCAGGAAAAGGGTTGTTCTGACATCAGTTTTCATTTGCTTTTGACTGAAATTTAAACCAAGAACACCTTCAATGTCCTTTTCTTGTCTACATGATGGCATTTCTCAAGACGATGGTGCCAGAGCAGCCTAAGCACTTTCCATGGTAAAGTTGTGGGGTCCATCTATGGGCACCCCTAAGCTCCTACAGAGGCCAAGCCTCCTGCTGGGCAGGCCCCAGCCAGGCAGCAGAGGAGTGGGCTGGGATGGCAGGAGAGGCCAGCACGCTGAGCAAAGGCCCACACTGATCAATGGTACTGTAGGAGGAAAGTCTGGAATCTCCAGGTGAAGAACAGGTACTAGAAAACACCTTATGATTTTCAGCATTCTTTCACATGTTATTCTAGTTCATCTTTTCAGTAGCTTCTGAGGTTACAAACAGCAGGAATTTTAACTTGCATTTTATATACAACATTGCTACATTGTATTTATTACAATATTTGCTATGTTGAATATTTGCATTTTATATACAATATTTGCTGCATACAATATTTGCAAGAGACCTTGCACAGTGGCCTCATTTATTCCTCAGAGCAGTGAACAGTTGCTACACTGAGCAGTTAGCTGTTGATGTGTAGTGGCTACAGTGGGGTTCCATGGAAATAAGGCTGCCCTCAGAGTTAATTAGAAAGCCTACAGGTAATGGGTTGACAGTTCCTTGAGCAAACCAAGAGACTGCCTTTAAATGTGGGTCTACAGAGTCAGGGAATTTCAAATCTCCATCCAAGATGGAGAGACTTGGAATTGATTATAATTAAGTTGTCAGAGCCCTAATGAATTTTATGGGTCTTGGGGTTGTGTGTTCACATGGATGTCTGGAATAAGGAGAGGGTCAGAGGTTGGTGTTGATAAAGGAATCCTGGGAGTAAAAGAATCTGAAGCTATAAACAAGACACTACTGTTACCTTGACCAGGCCATTCCCACTGAGCTGAGAGAGTCTTCTTGACATCAACTCATCCCCTTATTATGAGAGAAAGAGAGGAGTCCAGCACTCCCCACCTCAAAACTCGCCAAACAGCATCTTTAATCGGCCTTCCTTCATAGGCCAGTCTTCAGAAGGAGGCTGGGCTGACTCAAGTATGGGGCTACTTGATGGTTATATTTCTCCTTTTAAATAAATATGCTGGTACCTGTATGGTTTTAGGCAACTGACTTCTGCCTGAACCCCAACTTCCTCATCTGTAAGGAGGAAGTGGGGTTGAGATGATTATAGTGTTTGTAAGGCACTTAGGGGAGAGAGAGGTATACGATAAGTGCTCAGTAAGTGGAAAGTGTTATTTTCATTGTTATATATAATTGGTCAGTGAACTTGGCTAATATGAGTCTTCCTTTGATAGACAACTCTGCAGATGATGCTGACAGGCTCGAGTTTTAAGTCTGCATTAGTGCTACTCACTCTCCCTTCACTAGTGTGAACTGGCAAAGAGCTTGACACCTTATGGAATTACAGCTCAGCAGTTGGCTGGCCTTCCCCAGGCCACATCCCTATGTATGAAACTCAGGAGTAAAAGTATCAATATCCCCATCCCATGGATGAGAGAAACTGAGGCCTAAAGAGATTAAGTGTCCAAGGTCATGCAACTAATAAGAGGAAGGCCAGGCCTTGAACTCCGATCTCTGACTTCAAACCCCATGGTCTTCCTGCAGCCCTGGGCTGCCTTCCCCCAAATAGGCAGAGGGCTGTGCAATGGATGACCTTCTCTGTTCTTGCTGCAGCCACTGCCCTGATGGTTATATCTGCCTGAAAACTTCTGAAAACCCGGATTTTAACTACACCAGTTTTGATTCCTTTGCTTGGGCTTTCCTCTCACTGTTTCGTCTCATGACACAGGATTCCTGGGAACGCCTCTACCAGCAGGTATTGATCTGTATGTCCCCATAAAGATTTGATTGAAGGCTGGTGGGCCAGCCGCATGGCTACATTTTTTTCTGGAGGATCCTGACTTAACTTCAGCAGCCCATGTGCTATAGGTACAGGTTTCTCTTCTTTCCCTTGAATCTGCAGACCCTGAGGGCTTTTGGTGGGCCAGCTGCATGGCTACATTTTTTTCTGGAGGATCCTGACTTAACTTCAGCGGCCCATGTGCTATAGGTACAGGTTTCTCTTCTTTCCCTTGAATCTGCAGACCCTGAGGGCTTCTGGGAAAATCTACATGGTCTTTTTCGTGCTTGTCATTTTCCTGGGATCCTTTTACCTGGTCAACTTGATCTTGGCTGTGGTCACTATGGCATATGAGGAGCAGAACCAGGCAACCACTGATGAAATTGAAGCAAAAGAGAAGAGGTTCCAAGAGGCCCTTGAGATGCTCCGGAAGGAACAGGAGGTTTGTGAGGGGCAGAAGTTTCATGAAGTCAGTTGCAGGCTGTACATTCTTGGACAGAGGTCTGGACCAGCCACTTAGGTTAGGGCTACCATTCTAAGGAACTGCGGGAGGATTCATCTTACCTCAGGGATCCTCTTAGGTCAGATTTTCTAAAAAAAAAAAAAAACCTGGCAGGATTCTTGTGCAAGTCATTTATTGAAGTGCTCTCAGGAGAAGGGAGTGAAGGAAGCAGGATGGGGCAGGGGGTGGGACTAAACAAGGAGTGGTCTCAGGAGGAGACCAGCTTCAGCCTGCTCCCATGGGAAGCTCTAGAGCTTGACTTGTATCACAGAGTTAGCCCTACCTTGAGGAAAGGGGGCTGGCCTTTTGTTACCCTGTACCTGCCCCAGGTGCAGACAGCCAAAAGAAATTTTCTGCGGAATGCTGCAGGTGTGAGCCATTAGCAGCTACCACTCAAATGGCTAGGGATGGGTGGATTGACCTGGTAAAAGAGACCTGGGTAGGGCAGCAACAGAGTCTACTACAGAGACACATTTAGCTAAGCCCAACCAGATGCTGTTGGCTGCAGCTGCTGTTCTCTATCCTCAGTTGCTGGCAACACTGGGGATTGACACAGCCTCTCTCCACTCCTACAATGAATCACATTTAACCTCCAAAAATGCCAGTGAGAAAAGACTCAGAAAGAAGCCAAGAGCGTCAGAGGGCTCCACAGATGACAACAAGTCACCCCAATCTGAGCCTTACAACCAGCAAAGGATGGTAAGGGGGCTCAGGTTTATGCTCTAAATGTTACCTACCTTTGCAGCTCCTGTGGGCAATGGGTTGAAGTGGGAAGTGGTTTCTAGCAGGGAGAGAGCTGGAGGCACAGAGATTAGTAGGATGTTTTAGTAATCCAGACACCCCCTCCCAAATGATAGATGGGGAAAAGGGTGAATTACAAAGACTTTCTGGAAGGGGTGGGGCTGATGTCAACTACATTGGGATTTTGGAATGTGGGAAAAGGAGAGACAAGTCCAAGATGACTCCCATGTTTAAGGAGCAAGTGGTGATTCTAAGACAGGAGCTCTGGAAAAAGAACCCAGGTTTGTAGGGAAGGTGGGGAGTCCATATTGGACATGCTGACCTTGAGGTGTCTGTGGACATCAAAGGTCAGCTTCCCTCTGACGCTCCGATCTGCAGTTCTGGAGCCGGGGGCGGGGAGGGAGGGGAGGAGGGGCTGACCGTGGTTCTGAAATCATTCACGGGCTTCTTTCTGACCTCATGCCTTGGGCCCTGCAGCTCAAGCTGTCACCTGTTGTTGGCACAGAAGATCCCAGTACCCATCTCTGTGACACAACCCGGCCTGGGAATGGCTTCAGTACCTCACCTCATACCTGTAGCAATTCTCCACTCTCCCCCCACACCATAAATTTCTGCCTCCCACTCCAAGACTCCCACTCCAACTTCCCTCACCCCAATTCCTCCCGTCACCTCCCTGCCCATTGAAATTCCTGTGTACCCCAAATATGGCCTTTCCATATGCATAGGCCTTAAGGTAATATTCCCTTTGTGGTAGGGTAGTTCCCATACCAATAGTATGGAAAAAGGGATCAAAATGGCTAGTTTTCAGGACTTCTGCTCCTCTCTTTCCTCTCAATCATTTTTCTTGTGCTCGCCTGGAAAACGTTCTACTTTTTTGCAATACCAGGTAGTTCCCATACCAATAGTATGGAAAAAGGGATCAAAATGGCTAGTTTTCAGAACTTCTGCTCCTCCCTTTCCTCTCAATCATTTTTCTTGTGCTCGCCTGGAAAACGTTCTACTTTTTTGCAATACCATCTCCCCAACCCTCAGATCTGTGTGTGCATCTACATACACAGACACACTTACATGTACCCTGGCCCCAGTGACACACCCACACTGCAGCATTTATCTGCGTCTGTACCTTTCTCTTCCTTCTCTGTCTCTTTTGAGTAACACCTGGTGTGCACAGAGCACAGTTCAGATGGTGTTTCAAAGGAGATTTGACTAGGGCTCTGACAATCACAGAACAGGATGAATCACAGCTTCCATGGAAATGTCGATGACGCTCTGAATTGGGCTTTAATCTCTCCAATCAGTCTGCCCCACACGGATTAGTACCTGGATGTCCAATAATTGTTTGGTGCATGTGTTTGTCTCTCCAATTAGGCTTGCCTTCAAGGGGAAAAATAGTAACTGTGTCTTGTTTATTCAAAATACTAGGTGCTTGGTATAAAGAGATGACTAAACCATGGTCCCTTTACAAAGAACTTCCATTTGTGTGAAGGAGGCAGATATAAAAACAGCTATGTGTTACATACTATATTAGAGACACGTACATGGTGTTTTGGGAATAAAGGAGGAGACATCCACTCTTATGGGGGGTGGGCTTGTATCAGGAAAGGCTTCCTGGAGGAGAGGATAATTGAGGTGAGTAGTAGAGTATGTAGATGTTCCTCCAGTAACTGAAGACTTGGGAGGGTCTGGGGAGGAGTATTTTCCAGGCAGAAAGAAGAACATGTACAGTAGTCCCCCTTTATCTACAGGGGGATACGTTCCAAGACCCCCTGTGGATGCCTGAAACCACAGATATTACCGAACCCTATGTGTAGTATACATATATACTATGGTAAAGTTTAATTTATAAGTTAGGCACAGCAAAAGATTAACAACAATAACTAATAGTAAAATAGAATAATTATAACAAAATATGCCAGCATCACTACTCTTGTGGTTTTGGGCCATTATTAAGTAAAATAAGGATTACTTGAACACAAGCACTGCAACGTTGTCACGCTCATTCTGAAAACCATCTACTAAGTGACTAATGGACGGATAGCATCTACAGCATGCAGTCACTGGACCAAAAAAGGATTCACATCCCTGGCAGGATGCAGTGGGACAGTGTGAGATTTCATCACACTACTCAGAACAGTGTACAATTTAAAACTTATGAATTGTTTATTCCTGGAATTTTCTATTTAATACTTTTGGAACACAGTTGACTTCAGGTAACTGAAACCATGGAAAATGAAACCATGGAAAAGGGGGGACTACTGTGTGTGAAAAGACAGGGAGCACCATTTGGGTACTTCTTTAACGCTAACTGTTTGATTGGAGTCCATTCAAGAAGGCATTCCCATACGCATAACCAATAAAATAAAATAAAATAAAAAGAAGAAGGCATTCCCTTCATCTTTTCTCAGGTATATTCATCTGCTAAATAAATCTTGGACAGTTTTTACATAAAGCCACTTTCTGACCAACAGCAATGAGATAGAGATGGATGATAAGACATAGGAGAGACACAGCAGGGGTTTCTGGAAACCCACAGGAGAGCAGTTGGCCTGCTTGGGTGATGCATTTCAAGGCAATTCTAATGCTTAGATTCAGAAGTCATTGCCCATAATTCACAAAATAGATTAATTCTGAAATAATTGGTGGCCAAAGAGGCACTGGCTATCAAATACAGGACCAAAATTTTCTTGTTTCTTCATTGGTTTGCTTGGTGCCCAAGTGCAAAAAACTCATCATTCCATCTTTAATATGGACTTTCCAATTCTGCTCCTTTGCCTCAAAAGTGGGCAGGATTCATGGATTTTTATGAGTTCTGTACTCTTTGGACCTGTATTCTAGACAAAGAGTGCTCTATTTATAATACCAGGCTTGTAGTGATGGCTGTTGAACAGGACTGGATTCCAAATCATCAAGAAAAGAAACTCTAGTTACGTGGAATAAGGGAATAAGTAAGGAAGATTCTAGTTAGCAAGATGCCCCACCGTAGTAGTTTAGTAAATAAAAAGAATTAAGGAAGAAGGGAAGAATCAAGCAGTCTGCTCAGAATTTGGTAGAAAGTCAATGTTTAGATTTTAGAATACAATATTTGTCCTTTGGACAGAATTGATGGTTTGTGATGGGCATGCTCCCATGGTGGTCATGGGAAATAGCTAACCCAGCACACTAACTCTCTGGGGGATCTGGGCCAATGAATTAGCTCTTTTCCTCTGGCATCTGTAAGCCACACAGTTCCCTCAGTGGAAGATTTTGATGGGAAATGTTTATTGATTTGGAAGAATGGCATTATTCTTCCAGGAAATTAGGCTGCAACTCTTCCTTCAGTCTTTCTATTGTTGACTGTTCAGAGCTTGCTTCTATGGATCCTGGAAGCTCATTATACTAGAAACCTCTTGTCTCCTCCTTTGCAACACAAACTCTCACACTCATACAGACTGGATCTAATGAATTGTACAATCTAATTTTCACGTAATAAAGTGCACTCATTCATTCAACAACCACTTACATATTCCAGTACTGGTGTGCATAATAGTCTCCTTAGGTCATAACTTTGCATATGGAAAAGAGGACTTTAGACAGCTTTGTATAGCTCTGCAGCCAAAGGCTGGCAAATAGCTGACTCATCCAGGTGACAAGGTTGTCCTCTGACATGTTCTTGGCCCTGATGACGTATTTGCTGATCTTACGCACCCTGTAATCTTTCCCCTCTCCTGTCATTTCCCCAGGTCTGTCTAGAATACCCCAGGAGAATAAGGACAGGGAAATGGGAGTGAGTGGGGAAAGTGTTGAGCTCTAGATTTGCTGAAGGACCAACTTCCAGCCATTTTTTCCTGCTCATTTGGGGCAATGCTCAGTCTTTCTTAGGTCTCTCCTCTGGAAGACGCCGGGCTAGCCATAGCAGTGTGTTCCATTTCCGGGCCCCTGGCCAAGACATCTCATTCCCTGATGGGGTCACAGATGAGGGAGTCTTTCCTGGAGATCACGAAAGCCATCAGAACTCCCTGCTGTTGGGCAGGGGTACTGGCCAGCAAGCCTCCCTCCCTCGGAGCCCACTGCTTCAACTCCCCAAGCCCAGCTCCACGCATGCAGAAGATGGACACCAGACGCTGCCTACTAGTGAGCTTGCCCCTGGAGCCATCGAAGTCTCGGTGAGTTTGTGAATGCTCCGGACTCCCTCGGGCTACCTTCCAGCTAGAGGCCTTGGGCCTAGAAGCCCTGAGCGTCACCAATGGGAGGGTCCTTTAGTCATCATTCTTTCCAGCACTTCCCATCCCACTCCCATTTTACAGACAGGTAAAGACCCAGAGAGGTTGGGTTTTCTCAAGGTCAAACAAGTTTCCTGGTTTACTCTGAAGTACAGCGATACAGGTCATTTTCCATATGACCCCATGCTTCTTCTCAGTGTTTCTCTGCCCCCACTCACCATCATTGCTTTGGAGAGAAGCCTGCTTATTCCCTGGGTGACTGTGAGAAAAACTGAAGACCTTTTCTTCTTCCTGGGTTTCAGTCCTAGCTGTGCCATTTTACCAAGTGAGTCACCTTTAGCAAATCCCTGTTGAATTTGGACTCCAAATGGTTTGTGCAGTGCTGAATCAGCTGCTGTGGGCCTTGGACTTCCCAAGTTCAGGATGTGTGCTGGGTTTCAGTCCTAGCTGTGCCATTTTACCAAGTGAGTCACCTTTAGCAAATCCCTGTTGAATTTGGACTCCAACTGGTTTGTGCAGTGCTGAATCAGCTGCTGTGGGCCTTGGACTTCCCAAGTTCAGGATGTGTGTGACTATAGTTATGGGCTGGCATAGAACCAAGACAGAAATTCCAGTGAAAAACTTCAGAGGGAAGCATCAAAAACATTGTATTAGACAATGTTATGATCTGTTTAGGGTCCTATAATAGAATACCATAGACTGGATGACTTATAAGCAACAGATATTTATTTCTCACATTTCTGAAGGCTGGGAAGTTCAAGATCAAGGCACCTGCAGATTTGGTGTCTGGGGAGGTCTTGCTTCATAGATGGTGCCTTCTTACCATGTCCTCACGTGGTGGAAGATAGGAGAGAGCTCTCTGAGCTTTACAAGGGCACTAATCCCATTCATGAGGATTCTACCTTCATCACCTAATCATCTCCCAAGGGCCCCACCTCCTAATACCTGGGGGGTTAGTATTCCAACATAGGAATTTGGGGCAGGACACAAACATTCAGTCTATTACAGACAACTAACGGTTGGACAATCAAGACACACAAATGTTCCCTGCAGAAAGAAAGACTGAGGAACTGGAACTGGGCTGTGCACTGGGAAGGGAAATGGGAGAAGAGAAGTCAGGAAAGTCCACTGTGGAATAGGAATTCTATGTAAGTGTCACATGCACTGCCTAGAGGATGTCTCATAATGACTGCCTGGCCCTCTGCTCCTGCAGCTTTCATCTCCCTTTGGTAGGAACCCCAGAGACCCTTAATGCAGTCCCATCCTCACCCTGGTGCCCAGGTCCCGCCCTGGGGAAGGAGTTTGCAGAGCCTCAGGTGAGCTCAGGTCACCCAACTAACTGCTAGCCTAAGCTCTGGTTCCATCCCAACTCTGTGTCCTGGTCCTCATGCCTAAGCTCTGACTCCAAGTTCAAGCACCAGCCCCATTTCTCCAAGCTTGACTGCAAAGGATCATGGTATCACTGGGCAGCTCATACCATATGGGACTGGCCAATAAGAGGCTGAATGATCCGTCTTTGCCTGTGAAAACTTCAGGTTGGGGGAGAGTCCTGACTCTGTTTGTATCTCAGCAGGCATCTGATGCAGGCCAAAAGAAGGATTTCTTGTCAGCAGAATATTTGAATGAACCCTTCCGAGCCCAGAGGGCAATGAGTGTTGTCAGTATCATGACCTCCATCCTCGAGGGTAAGTGCTGCTCATTGTAACATCCATCTACTGTGCCATGTCATGATGAGTCCCTGTGTGAGCAGCAGAAGAAATTTCCCTAACCTCCTACTTATGCTCTAAGCCCCATCACCCTTTATCAATGTGGTTTTTTCATGTGCATAATTTTTCAAAAACAGAAGAATTCAATGAATGAAATGCCCTAGTTCATCTCTTGTTCAAATTAGCATCTGCTTCATATGTATTCACAAAACTGGATTCTGAAAAGTGATCTAGCATGCACCAGAGAATTTCAGGCCACCTCTCAGGTATGCAAGAAATTTAACAGTCTTTAATTTTCTAACATGGCAAAAGTATCCTAACATTTTTCACAGCTGTAACTTTCACAATGGTAAGTTAATTTCTGTCTCAAGTCTCCATTATGCTGAACATTGGGAGACAATTTAAGTAAATTAATCAGTCAATTTAATTAAATCTTTGTCTATTCTGGGTTCTACCAACCAAGTGGAAATCTACTCTTTCTCCCCAGGGATATGTCTCAGTTCCAGTTGCTAACACTAAGCCAAGGGGTGGAGGAAGAGTGGCACTGGGATGGCCACCTGTCCACACACATTCCCGCAGAGCATGATTGTATCCTCCTCACCCTGAGTATGAGGCCTGTTCTAATCCAGCATTTATTTTACCTCAGCATATGGAGAATATGGCCTTAGTCATATCCAGTTATTTATCCCCACCACAAATTANTTCAAATTAGCATCTGCTTCATATGTATTCACAAAACTGGATTCTGAAAAGTGATCTAGCAGGCACCAGAGAATTTCAGGCCACCTCTCAGGTATGCAAGAAATTTAACAGTCTTTAATTTTCTAACATGGCAAAAGTATCCTAACATTTTTCACAGCTGTAACTTTCACAATGGTAACTTAATTTCTGTCTCAAGTCTCCATTATGCTGAACATTGGGAGACAATTTAAGTAAATTAATCAGTCAATTTAATTAAATCTTTGTCTATTCTGGGTTCTGCCAACCAAGTGGAAATCTACTCTTTCTCCCCAGGGATATGTCTCAGTTCCAGTTGCTAACACTAAGCCAAGGGGTGGAGGAAGAGTGGCACTGGGATGGCCACCTGTCCACACACATTCCTGCAGAGCATGATTGTATCCTCCTCACCCTGAGTATGAGGCCTGTTCTAATCCAGCATTTATTTTACCTCAGCATATGGAGAATATGGCCTTAGTCATATCCAGTTATTTATCTCCACCACAAATTAAATTGTCCTGTTCTGGAGTAGGGATACATAACCTTAGATATTGGCATGTTCCTGAGAAGGGGCCCTACATGCTTTTATCCCAGCCCTGGACTGAATCCTAATTTGGGGGGGGGAGTGTGGGAGCAATAGAAACCCCCAAAATGTTTGAGGGATTGGAAAACAGAGCCAATCTCTGCCTTACTTTCTAGCTGAAGCTAGAGATGGCAAGCCTTAGAGAGAGAAGCACGTGCCTAGTATGGCACAGAAACTGTAGAGTAGACCTGGCTGGTAATGTAGCTGGTAGAGAAGGCCTGAGGCAGCCTCAGAGAGTGCCCTGTGGCTCCAGAATGACAGGAGAATATCTGGATGATGACTTCATCCCCAATAAAGGCTATGGAAAGAGGGCAATGAAAGCCAAAGAGGGAATCTGGAGGGGCAAAGAGGGAAGAACCATCTTCATGGACTCTCCCACCAGAGACCAGATGGGAACTATAACTCAAGTAAAACGCACTTAGAAGTGACTAAGGACCAGATCAACTCTCCACCAACCTTGAGCTCCCCTAAACTCAGACACAACCTCAGATAATAAAATAGTATCAGAAACTGAATTAACCAAAAGAAAGTGCCCAGGTGGGGGACTTGAAGTATAAATTGAATTCAACTATGGGGGCAAAAAACACCCTTAAGTTACATTTCTTGCATACCCCAGTTTGTGTTTAGATAAATATGTATCCATTCCTCAACAAGAGTGTGTACAGACTGTCATATTATTTTTCCTCATTGATAATTATTTAATAATCACTTTTCATTGTAATTAATAGTGTCTGTACTCCTAACAGTTTTTCATAGCTGCATGGAACTTCGCCATGCCACTATGCCTGTAATTTTTTGTTGGCCAAGTGGGTTTCTTGGATTTTTTTTTTTTTTGTCTATTAGTCATCAAACAGCAAACATTAAATACAAACAAATTGCTTTTTCATTTATTCCCCAGAGCTGTTATGCTTCCTCCTTCCCTCTTTTTTCACTTATTCACTCACCAATGAACATTTGTTGAATGCCTGTTATGTGCTAATATTGTTCCGGGTGCTGAAGATTCAGCGGTGAATGTGATATAAGCCTGCTCTCATGGAAACCACATCCTGGGAGGAAGGAAGGGACTGATGACATACACAAATATATATTCAAATAATAATGAGAAGCAGGGGAAAAAACAAAGTAGGGAAGGAGATGGAGAATAGGGAGTTGCAGAAGCCATTCTCTTTAAGGAGACCAGAAATCTGAATGAGGTAAGGTATCAGCCATGGGAGAACTGGGGCAGCAGGGGAGGTATTTGAAAGCAGCTTGAATAGAGATGGTAACTTTGAAAAGGTGCAAGTGGATAAGACGACATAGGGAGGATTAAATAAGAAAGACTGGGTTAGACTACTTAGACTGTAGTTCTAAGAAACTACAATATTTAATGGTTGAGCAGNAAGAGATGGAGCCAGCAGAAGAGACTGAGAAGGATTGCATAGAAATAGAAGACCTAGAATAGAATGTAAGGCCAAGAGTCTAAATTCCTTCAGGAAGAATACAAAGGCCAATAGAGGCAAGGCTAAAGAAAGGTCAGGAAAAATAAAGCCTGAAAAGGGTCCAGAGGATTTAGTCATATGGATGTCTTTGGAGATTTGATCAAAAGAGAATTGGATAGCATTTTTCAAGCCTTGCAGTGGGGAAGTCTTTCTATGCAAGGCATAAAAGCAAGAAAACAAAGAAAAACACTGATAAAGTGGACTATGTACAAATTTTTTAATTACTTATGCAAAAAGGCACTGTTAGCAAAATTTGGGAACATGCAAATATTTCTACAAACTCATTTTTTT